AGGCTTGGCTTCTTCATTATAAATCTCGTTGTATTTCTTGTGATGTTCTTTGGTGAATCTTCCGTGACAGATTTGTGAGCTAACCGTTTCTCATTGAGAGTCATGAGACCAGTTGACGGATTGGCTTTCTAGTTTCATTTCTTTCCTTGCGGTTGGCAAACACAAGGCGTGCCAATCTTTGCTGATCATTGTAGGCTTGGCTTCTTCATTATATATGTCGTTGTATTTTTGTGATGTTCTTTGGTGAATCTTCCGTGACAGATTTGTGAGCTAACCGTTTCTCATTGAGAGTCATGAGACCAGTTGACGGATTGGCTTTCTAGTTTCATTTCTTTCCTTGCGGTTGGCAAACACAAGGGGTGCCAATCTTTGCTGATCATTGTAGGCTTGGCTTCTTCATTATACATGTCGTTGTATTTTTGTGATGTTCTTTGGTGAATCTTCCGTGACAGATTTGTGAGCTAACCGTTTCTCATTGAGAGTCATGAGACCAGTTGACGGATTGGCTTTCTAGTTTCATTTCTTTCCTTGCGGTTGGCAAACACAAGGGGTACCAATCTTTGCTGATCATTGTAGGCTTGGCTTCTTCATTAAAAATGTCGTTGCATTTCTTGTGATGTCCTCTGGTCATCAAACAGTACTCGCGCGAAATTGTGATGAGCTTTTTTGTGAATCTTTCGTGACAGATTTGTGAGCTAACCGTTTCTCTTTGAGAGTCATGAGACCAGTTGACGAATTTGTTTTCTAGTTTCATTTCATTCCTTGCGGTTGGCAAACACAAGTGGTGCCAGCCTTTCCTCATTATAACCTCTCTTATAAATGGATTTTCATTTCCTGTGACGTCTTCCAGTCATTGGACATCAATACTAGTTTAAATTCCGATCCCACTTTTAGTTTTGTGAATATCGTGTAACAGATTTTATTAGCTAATTGCTCTGCATTGAGAGTCATAGAACAAGGAATTAACGAAATTTCTTTCTAGTTCCATCTCTCCCTCTGCGGTTGGTAAACACAAATGGTGCCAATCATCGCTGATCACCGTAGACTATCTGCTATGCAGTATGCAGTAGATAAACCGTATGGCACAACTGGTGAGCTGTCTCCCTCAATATCCAACGATCCTAATTGGTTTACCAACAGGTAATTGTTGGACCATCGATAATTGGTCCAATTAATTTTTGAATGTAAAAGTCCAACGATTATTACTCCACATTCAGGTCCACTTGTGTAATCAACAGCTTCACCCTTTAGTTATCATTTTTTGTTTGGGAGGGTGCTATCAAAAATATCTGGAATAATTTAATGTCCACTGAGTAATGAGGGATTTTTACATGATGATTCATCAAATGATTTTGTGTCAAAGCCATTCCATTTATTCTTGCGGGATTCAGGGTGACGAATGCAGGAAATCTGAAAAATCTGCAGAATATTTTGTGCGAAATATAATCGGCTGATTCGGTAGGGAAGAAATAGAAAGTAATGATTCAATTTTTCACATTTGAAGGGCCATAATTTTATAATGTTAAAAGGGCGTCAATGAAGAAAGTCAATAGATTTCTATTTTTCTATACGAATATTCTCTAGGAATTTTTTCCATAGCAATAGTTGGCCATAAATTTTCCAAGTTTTTTCCGCTGTATTTTGTAATGCAAAACAAAACAAAATACAGCGGGAAAAACGTGGAAAATCCGTGCCCAATAATTTTAACAGAAAAAACCTCAAGAGAAAAATTCTAACAGAAAAACCGAAATCTATTGACTTTTTCCAATTGAATATCTAATAGAATCTGCGCAGAAAACAAATAGAATTCTAACGAGAATTACCTAGAATTTTTTCACTCATTCATTTTCATTTTAACAATACAAATTGCATCTTCACTGTACCAATTTGGTATTTATTTCTTCAACTATCTAGCTCAATTTCAGAGAAATGATTTAATGACATTATGAGTTCAAAAAACGAATCGACGGAGCGCGTTTTTTTAAACGAATCTAAACATAAACAGTGATTTCATAGGCAAAACGAACTTAGGGTTCTTCGTCTTCAGGTGACGATACTCTTTCGGACTTTCTGACTGGTTTTTAGTCTGCTGGAGCAGTTCGTACAGTACAGCCGTTCCTCCTCGTGCGTTTTTAACAAAGAACAGAAATTAAATGTGAATTCACTGTGTTTTCCTTAATTTAATTTCCCATTCCCAATATTATTCATCAATTAATTTCTCTCCTTCCTTCAGTTTCATGACGCCAGCGCCGAAAATAGGAGTCCATTCCGAATGATAAAAATATCCCGATAATAAAGAGAATTACTCCGCATTGATATGTACAGCTGATGCATGACGAAATGCAGGAATCGAAAAATGAGGGGTTGAAGAGTCGACAGCGGTGGAGGAGGGGGGAGGGGGGGGGGGTTGGGGGGGGNGTAGTGACCCCTCATTGTTAGCCATAGGGGCTTAGGATTATAGAATGGGGTGAGCAGGGGGAAGGGGGGCCCACTCGTATTTGGGAGCTCGTCGGCAACAGATACGTTATGATCGATAGTTTTCGCTTGCGTTACGAAAGATATCACAGAAGTTTGTCACTCCTCATCTTGATCAATAGCTGTTTTTATTGAAAGCGAAAAATGAATTTCCCCTTTTTCCCAATTTTTCATTTATCATCGATATTTTCTCGTTTCCCATTCATTTAACAATCACTCCTTTTTTCGCTGTTCACAACCCCTACAGACTCTTACCCCTATTCTCACCCCTGGGGGTAGGCTGATAGAGGGTTCTCCCTTTTCGCTAGTCTTTGTTTTCCCTTCTTACATCGAGCCAGTGTCGTTTCGTCGGTGTCCGCGAGACGTTCGTCCAAAACCATCAGGCAGTTCTCTTAAACATGGTAAAATAGAAATACAATTCAGTAGTGAAGTGGTAAAAGTTTTCGATCAATATCTCGGAATCTAAGGGAGATGGCGAAATTTTTGTTACGACCTTTTTTGTGGAGCCGATTGAGTGCTGCAAAAAATGTAGTTACGAAAATTTCGATATCTCCCTTAGATTCTGAGATATTGATTGAAAACTGGTCAATAGTCAAAATTGACTTCGCTACTGAATCAAGGAATTTGTTGTTCAACTCCATAGTTCGTATCAAGGAAGCAGGGTTATGGGAAATGTGGAGAGAACAATAAACTGCACTAGATTATTGTTAATTCGCGGCGTTTCGCCTATAATTTAAGCTGTCTCAGGCCTCTAGAAACCAAAGAAGTAGAAAACAAATAAATTAGTGAAACGTTACGAAACGTACGTTAATAAAGGTCAGACAGTCAAGAAAATTCGTAAGCATTCGAAGTCAAAACAAATGTAATGATTGACAGTCACAAGTCCATCAGCCACTCATGAAATAAATCCAGAAATCTTGTTAATTAGCTTGACAATTAAGTACATAGTCATATTATTTTCTAAAATATTCCATGGTAGGAACCCTAAAGACATTAGTATTCGTCATTCCCTGCAGTCATGAACTATGCATGTGGAATTCAGTAGATGGGGAAAATCATTTGGTGAATTTCAACAACTAGTTGTTGGAATCACCAATTGCGGTGAGAAAAAAAATGCTTTTGCCAAGTATATTTACTATGCTGCAAGAAAATTTACGCATTTCTTACACAAATATTTATGTACATTTACTTGTGGCAAGTAAATATACTTGGCAAAAGGAATTTTTTTTCTCAGGGTGGTTGGTAATTCATTCTTTTTCATAAACTGGTTGTTGAATTTCACCAATTAATTGTTGAATTTCAACAACTGGTTGTTGGAATTCATCAATTGGTTGATAATTCATTTTTTTAACACCTAGTTTGTGACTTTCGACAAACTAATTGGTCAAATTCAACAATTAGTTGGTTAAATTCACCAATTAGTTGTTGGAATTCTCCAAGTGGTTGTCAATTCATTGTTTTCAACAACCAATTGATTAAATTCACTAATTAGTTGTGGGAATTCTCCAACTGGTTGTCAATTCATTGTTTTCAACAACCATTTGGTTAAATTCACCAATTAGTTGCTGGAATTCTCCAACTGGTTGTCACTTCATTGTTTTCAACAACCAATTGATTAAATTCACCATTTAGTTGTTGGAATTCCCCAACTGGTTGTCACTTCATCGTTTTCAACAACTATTCGGTGAAATTCACCAATTAGTTGTTGGAATTCCCCAACTGGTTGTCACTTCATCGTTTTCAACAACTATTCGGTGAAATTCACCAAATACTTTTCCCCTTGTAGACGCTAAACCCTCAACCCCAAAAATTCTCACCTCACAACCGCCAGTGGAAAAAGTCCAAGCGGGTCAGCCGCGTCGAGCGCCGGATCAATTTGGGAATGAAACGACAACACAACTAGTTGCGAGCAATTCCCCCGTAGGGTTTTTGGATTCCACCAGTGAGGAAAAAGATGCTGAAGAAACTTCAGATGAAAACTGCCATAATAACATTTTCCCTCGCGCGCGGCAAAAAGAAAAGCGTAATAATATATATTTTTCCAGAGGCAAATAACGAGGCTCGTTATCGACACCAACGAGAGGGCGGAAGTGGAGAGGTGGAAAGAAGTCATCGGGAATGAAGAAGCCGAAGGGTGTGAGAGAGATGGTGAAATGATAGAAGGACAGATTCAATGTTAATCGGTAGTCGAGTCGAGGTAGAGGGGCTGTACCCGTGAGAACGAAAGAGACCCAGTGGTGAGGGTAACTGTGGGTGAGGAAAGAGTAGAGGGTTGGTATGAGTGGGCTGGTGGTGGTGGACCCGGGGGTGGGTAGTATTGCCGTTGAAAATAAAGCGGGTGGATGGTTAAATGCGTTGAAGAAAGACAGTCATACTTTTTCCCCACCGCTTGGGAAAAACCCTTGTCCCCCCTCCAGCTCGGTGAAGTTGAGTCGTGCGCCGGTTACTGTGTACCAGAGTAGTACAAAAATATATGGTGGTATCTCACTCACTGGGTTGGCATGTGAAAATGGTGTGGTGGGAGGGACGGTGGCGGTGTGGCCTCAAAAATACACCGCAACCACACCGCGCGGCTCTACCGCAGAAGCCGCCACCACCTTTCCACCGCCGTGCGGGGCCCACGAAAACGAGACCGCGTTGCGAGTTTAACATCCTGACTGCAAGTTGGGGGGGAAAAATCATCGGCTGAGATGTGGACTTGTGATTTTTTCTCATGTGCCTGCCAGAGCCGTCGTCAGTGATTGATAATTTTTTAGTTCATGAAAACAATCTGGATTTTGCGGGGAAATTGAGTGATCAGTGATAACTTGTACGGGAGGGAATTGGTGTTGTGAGAACTTTGAGTAATGACTAATTGAGAATTAAAGAATCTGTGATAGTATCGCGTGAAGTGGTGAGACGGAAGGAATTTGACGAAGTGGTGTAGCTGAGGATAAAACTGCGAGGACGACGGGGAAGTAAGAATTTGCAAACAGATCCTGATGCTATCCGTTGTCGGGATAATGAAATAAGGATCAAAGGGAAGGAGATCGAGACGCATTTGGGTTTGAGGAGAGTGGAAGGGGAATTACTGTACGGAGGTAATAGAAAACGGAGAAAGAATCTGGGAAACAAATTCAATTGTTGGATTTCGATAGGAGGGGAGTGAGAAGCTGTGCTCTGTGGTGGAAAAGAAATCGAGTGAATTCCTGGTGATCCTTCGGAGGTGAACGGAGGATCCTCCAAGACTTTTATTGAAACTCGTCGTTGAATTGATCAGTTTAAGGGCATAATTTAAGGACATCGCGCTCGTCAACTCTCCGGAAAGCTGGGGAATTCGGCAGAAATTCTGTCGATTCAGATCTCATGACGAATCCGCTGAGAGATGTCCGACCGGAGGAACGTCCTCACGGACTTGATTATCCGGACGCGAGAATTGCTCGTAATCATTCATTAACCAGCATCAATCCTGCGGGACAGATATTCAGCTCGAGATTGCGGAAGGCGAGGGTTTCTTCGACGAGACGAAGAATGCATATCGCTGAGGAGTCACCTGCTCAGGGGAATGCGACTGGTAATCAACCGACTGACTATGCACTCACCGCCGATCTCCTTGCCGAGAGGACGTTGGATGGGTTGCTTGCGGAACATCCTGGGGAGCTCATTCGGACAGGTACACTGTTGAAATTTTTACCTGAAATTTCCCCTCCACTTTTCGGACATTTTTGTCACATCTAAGTTCCACTGGAATTTCAAGGAATTTCGTTACATGGAGAGAAATGTTTGGTAAAAATTACGGAACTCATAGTTCGCTCAACGATTACGGAATCGACTCAGAAAATTTAAGTGACAATATCGTCATTTTTCACAGGAGATTCAGGTAAAAATTACGGAACGCTCTGGAAAAATTCCGTGACAGTTCCGTAAAATTTCCTACAACCACTTTTCGCTCCGGAATTACGGAGAAGATACGTAATTTTTATTGAGTATTTCTCTCCGTGTATTGAAAATTAGAAATTTCGGGAGAAAATGAGATCTATAAAATTTAGTTCAATTATGCCCTGAAAATTAATAGAAATCCAGAAAATTCCGGTAAACATATTCTTAAATTTTCAATTGATGGAAAATTCTGGGTAATTCAGCAATAAACATTGAGATTTTCATTGAAAATTCAAATAACTTGAAGAATTGTCGTTTTTGCGCTTCTCAAAATTTTGGAATTTTATTGAATTTTCAGTGAAATCTGAAATTTCATGATTTATTTCTCCTTAAATTGCATTCAGTGGCACTCTCCTCAAAATTACTAGTCACCTGTTAGAAAATTACTCCGGAAAAAATTTCAAGTAAAAAATGTTGAATTTTTTAGCTATCACTCATTCACACGAAGTTTTCTCATTTCGTCTACATGATATTTAAAATGAGTAAATAATTTGAAAATTCGAGCACCAATTTTCCAGAATTTTCAATTGGCTGAAAATTCAGTTGCACGAGATGTTCAATTTCCGCAGTGAATTTAAAAATTTCATTTAAAAGCTGGCGATTAGACAAATCGTTTGAAAAGAGAACAATTGAAAAATATGGATAATTGAGGGAGTTATCATTTTTTGAAAATTGCAAGTTTTTATTCAAAAAAAAATTGTGTTTCGAATTGACCCCAATATCTCTGCGGGGTTTCATGCTACCAATTCGCCCTCTGTCACACTCAAAGAACATGAACAGCCCTTCAAAATGAGACGGCATACGTAAAATTATCTTCAGTTTGACGGGGTTTATACGAGAGAACGTTTTTTTAGTCGTTAATTACTCAAAAACTGAATTTTTCAATCTTCAATTTTCACCAAAAATTGTCAATAAAATTGTCAAGACTTTTGGCGCCAATTGGAGTTTGTCTTTCGCCACAGTTTAGCGGTTATTAATTTTTTCATCGAGACAAGTATTGAAAATGACCGAAAATCGCTATTACTCATGCAATTATGGCCCAAATAAGTGAATATTCAACTAAACATTAGCAAATCGTGGACGTCAGACCCATTACATCTTCTATGATTCATTTTTGGTATGACTTGTTGAATGAGAAATCATTATTTCTCCAATTACACAATGGAAATAAATTTTTCAAAGAGCTTTCATTTGTTGGTAATCGCGAATTTAATTGAATCGCCTCATTTTTAATTATTCAATTGAATATTCGCTCGTTTGGAGGATAATTGCATGAAAAATAGGGATTCACGGTCATTTTCAGTGCTCGACCCACGGAAAGAAATGAGAACCATCGACCTACACCGAAAGACAAACTCTAATTCCTGATTTTTTTTAAATAATTAACGATTGAAAAACCGTTTTCTCGTACAAACTCCGTCAAACTGAAGATAATTCTACGTATGACGTCTCATTGAGGTCAATTTGGAAAAAGCCATTTCCAAAAAATCATAACTCCCTCAATTACCAATATTTTTCAATTTTTCTTCCACAATTTTCTTGGCCCGCATTTATGTTCAAACAATTCTGGAAGTGATAGCTAATGCAGCTCGTCATTGTTGTCATAATCATCGACAATTCTCCGAAAATATTTTCCTCCGCAGGTTGTCCCCACGTCGTCTGCACAGTTCTCCCAAACCACTGGCGCTCCAACAAAACCCTTCCAGTGGCATTCAAGGTAGTGGCCCTCGGCGAAGTTGGCGATGGAACACTCGTCACAATTCGTGCTGGCAATGATGAGAACTGCTGCGCCGAGCTGCGTAACTCCACAGCTCTCATGAAGAATCAGGTCGCCAAATTCAACGATTTGAGGTTCGTCGGCAGGAGTGGAAGAGGTGAGTCTCCCCCCGAATAATCCAAATGCAGGAGAAAGAATTCAGTAGCGAAGTGGTAAAACATGTGGTACAAGTCAATTTTGACTATTGACCAGTTTTCAAAGAATATCTCGGAATCTAAGGGAGATAGCAAAATTTTTGTCATAACCTTTTCTGTAGAGCCGATTGAGTACTACAACAAACGTAATTACGAAAATTTCGCTATCTTCCTTAGATTCGGAAATATTCCTCAAAATCTCAACTGGGAGATGAGTCGACTTGAACCGTTTTGCCACTTCGCTACTGATTTACACACACCTTTTCGTCAAAATAGAATTCAATTCTTCAAGTAGAATATCTACAACCACACAACATTACTAACATTCCAACAATCTAAAATTATTAATTTTCAATATAATCAGCAACCGACAAAAAATTGAATGTGAATTTAAAATTTACATATCAACATTGGTCGGTAAACAATTAATTGACTGAACAATCGCAATTTTTTGGTAATTTTTGTAATTTTGTAATTTTTTTTCATTTTTTTTGTATCTCCCCGAATAATCCTAAATACCCGAGAAAGAATTCAGTAGCGAAGTGGTAAAACAAGTGGTACAAGTCAATTTTGACTATTGACCAGTTTTCAATGAATATCTCGGAATCTAAGGGAGATGGCAAAATTTTTGTTATAACCTTTTTCGTAGCGCCGATTGAGTACTACAACAAATGTTATTACGAAAATTTCGCTATCTCCCTTAGATTCGGAAATATTCCTCAAAATCTCAACTGGGAGATGAGTCGACTTGAACCGTTTTGCCACTTCGCTACTGAATTCCAAATGCGGATACAGTCCTTTGACATCTCCGGTTTTTCGTAAAAGCATCCAAGACCGTTCCTCCACTCCCTAAATCATTCAACTTTCCGAAATTGTGTACATTAGCGTTACGCCTCTTTTATCACTGCCCCGCTGGCACTCCATCTCTCGCTTCAGGCTGAATTAAGCATTCGAGAGGTCCTTATTTGGTGCTCATTTTTTATTCAACCATCAAATACATCAGCTCCTTCTTTTTCGTGCCCAATTTACCGAGCATTTCAGCGTCTTTTGGCGTTTGCATGGAAGCGGACACCGGGGATTTTTAATTCCAGTCTTTTCGATTATGTGAATTATTCAGGGGTCTAGGTCTTTTCGATGGCTGAAAGAAGGGCAACAAATGCCTTTGGGGACTTCGGGAGGGAGAAAATATGTGGGGGTCCAGGATTATGTTAATAATGCAGACTAATAATTACTACCATTACCAGATCCTTCGATTTCTGAAGGGTTGCGCCGAGGTTTTCCATCTCGGTGGAGCGCTACCTCCATTTCTTTTCCTCCACCTCTTCATTTCTTGTCTGGAGAAAGTCGGGATACGCAAAGTAACGAGACGTTCTTTAATTCTTTTAATTCCCACTGAACGAGCAAACTCAAGATCCCCTGGTCTGACAAACACAAACACCAGGGGCAAGATGAGTAAGAGAACGAAAAAGCGCCCCGCCAACCCCCCCCCCCCC